AAGGGTGCACTACGAAAACGGCACCCATGCACCGTACCATGTTTGGACTCCCTTTGGGCACCGAACCAACGGAGTGCGGTGCATAGCGTGTCGGCTCTGAGGGCAACAACAACTATTTATGCAACGTCTCCTTCCTGGGTGGAAGACCGACGACGCCTTTGGAAATGCCAGCACGACAATGCTGCACACAAGTCGTCCGCGGATAAGGCGAATCAGCGCAGGTTATGCTGGTTTTCCCAAGACCTCCCCGCGCCGGTAAGCAGCCTTGGAGCAGGGACCGACCGTCCCGGCATTCCTATAGCCCTACCACGAAATGTTCTGAGAACCCAAAAATGTTCTCAGAACAAAAATCATGCTCTCAGAACATAAGCAATGTTCTTAGAACATAAACCCAATGTGCTCAAAGAAGGCAGTCCCAGCCAGAAATGCTGTAACATGTCGTGGAAAACACGACAGGTTCTTAGAACAGTGATCGGTAGGGCTATAGGCGAGCCAAGACGCTGCAGCACTGCTTGAGGCCTCGTTCACGTCGAAGGGGACGCCCCGGCTGCGGGCCCGAAGCCGGATGCCCATCGGCCGATGACGGAACCCTCAGAGCGAAGGCGGGATGCAAGGGCTCCCAACTTCGCGCTTCGCGCTGCGCGAAGCGCGACGTGCGAATGACTGCGCGCCCTCGCGCCGCCTCCCGGAGGAGGTGAGGAGGAGGACGAGGAGGCATCGGCGCCGAAGCGCGGAGCGCGGAGCGAGAATCAGCTTCGCGCCCCTCGAGGGCGCCCCCCTTGGGGACGAGGGCAGATCGGGCCGAGGCACGCCTCGGCCCCTCGGACAGCCGGCGGGGCTCGGAGAGTCTCTCTCTCTCTCGGGCGCCGCGGTCGCTGCCGAGCGAGGCGAGGGCGCCCCCGGAGCCCTCGGGGGGGACGGGGGTGCCCTCGCCCATGGGCCTGCCCTCCACGCCTGCCCCCCCCCCCCCCCCCTCCCCTCCTCCTCCTCTTCTCTCCTCCTCTCCTCCTCCTCCTCTCCTCGTCTTCCTCCTCTTTCTCCTGCTCCTCTCCCTCCCTCCTCCCCTCCTCTCCTCCTCCCCTCCTCCTCCTCTCCTCCTCTCCTCCTCCTCCTCCTCCTCCTCCTCCTCCTCCCCCCCTTCCCCCCGCTCCCTCCACGGCGCAAGGGCGGCGAGCATAGTTAGCTGCTCCCCCGCCGCGGCCCTATCCGCATTGGGTCCGCGTCTGCGGGCAGTACTTATATCCATATCCAGAGCGTCGTGGACCTTTGGGGAAGAGGTGCCGCAGCGTCGAGGGCACTGGATATGGACAGAATCAAGCCTCTTGGGGCCAGATTTGTATCCATATCCAGTGCGTCTACGAATTCTGGAGAGGAGAGCCCGAGAATCCAAGACGCACTGGATGTGGATATAACTATTGCCCGCACGCGTCGAAGTCATGTCGGGCGCGTCGGATCCGCGTCGAATCCGCGTCGGCTCCACGCCAAATATCCGAGCAGAGCCCGCACATCGAGCCAGCGTCGGGCACGTACAGGGGAAGACACCCACCTTCGGGGAGAGGCGAGGTCGAAGGGGCCCAAGGACACACAAACAAATACACACAGATAGAAAGATTCCCCATAGTTCCCCCTATTTTCTGGGCTTCTGTCTTCCCCCCCACTTCCCATGTGTTCCCATATCTTCTGGGACATCGACGATTCATCGTGTCTGTGTGTTTCTTCTCCTCCTGGGAGGTCCCCCGAAGACCCAACGTCAAGGATGGGGGGGGGGACCAGAAGAAGAAAAAACACAGAAACATCTCCTTGTGGCGCTCCGCGCGGACTTCTCGGACCCCCCCCTGGCGCGCGGAGCGCGCCGGAGGCGCCGCCGGAGGCGCCGCCGGGGGGGCCCAGCGCGGATCCAGGAGATCCGCGCGGAGCGCCAAAAAATTATGCGGATGCGGCTTTAGGGAATCGAACTCTATACACCGACGCTTTTTCCGGCCCTGCATTGAAATTTGAACTGGGGAGCGGATCCTGGTGTATACGTGACCCTGGTGTACACATTCTTCGTTGCTTCCCCGGGACATCGAGGAAAAAAGTATACACCACACCGCCCCAGCGTCGTCCCCGACCCTCAACAAGTCCTGGGATTGAGATACGGCCCGCTACTGGCACTGTCAATGTTCCAGTTTCAGAGGTCTGTCCTTCTTCGGAGGGACGGGCTCCGCGCCGCGGGAACACATCGCTCTGGTCTCTCAGCCGCCTGCTCTCGACAGCGCATCTGCAGGGTTCCGGGCGAGGTGCAGCCCCAGCATGCCGGCTCCCAGGGGAGAGCGGTCCCCGAGATGGGGGCGGGCGGCGAGGGAGGGAGGGTGGAAGCGCGCCCGGGTGGGAAATCTTCGGCGCGGTGTCGTGCACATCTGGCAGAAGGGCGACAAACATGTGACGGTTCGTGGCTGTTCAGAAAGTCGGCGGCAACTCATGGGAGCCTCCCGTCCCGTCGTGTCGGCTCTTGCGGATCGACGCTACTCGACGCAAAGTCGACGCGAGTCGACGCCAGCCGACGCTAAATCGGCGCTATGGTATCGACTCCCGGACGCTGATCGACGCTAGCCGACGCTAAGGATGCAATTAAGAGGGTAGACCAGGCTCCCATGATTTGCTACCGAAGCTGAATCATACAGAGCACTAGCAAAATAAATACGGAGAAACAGCCACTCGATGAGTAAACGAAAAAGGATCCCTAACCCTTTGCGAGGGGAGCTAAGTGAGGAGGGCCAAAAACATCAGGGATAGGGGTGTGTTCTGCAGATGTTTCGAACCAACTGCTGAGAGTTACTATCCCTGGTAGAGGACGGGGACCTAGGTGAGGCCACGTCTTCACCATGATAGTAGGGTTAGGGTCTTCTATCCTCGATGATTAAAATTAGGCACGTTAGGGTTGGGGCTAGGGTTTTTGTATCCTCGATGTTAGGGGTTAGGGTTAGGCCTCGAGTGTTTGATCCTCGATGTTATTAGGGTTAGGTTTTTTTACGAGGCCTGCCTGGGCGACGAGCAGCGGCGCAGCGACACCAAGAGCCGCAGAACCACAGCAGACCCCCCTCGGCGATGGCTGGACGATCCGGGGTCAACGCCTTGATCCTCCTCCTCCTCCTCCTCCTCCTCCTCCTCCTCTTCCCCTATCTATCCTCCCCCATCCTCCCCCATCCTCCCCCATCCTCCTCCTCCTCCCCCATCCTCCCCCATCCTCCTCCTCCTCCCCACCTCCTCTCCTCCTCCTCCTCCTCCTCCTCCTCCTCCTCCCCCCCATCCTCCCTCCTCCTCCTCCTCCCCCTCCTCCTCCTCCTCCTCCTCCTCCTCCTCCTCCTCCTCCTCCTCCTCCTCCTCCTCCTCCTCCTCCCCCTCCTCCTCCTCCTCCTCCTCCTTCCTCCTCCTCCTCCTCCTCTTCCTCCTCGTCGCAGGAGGTCCCGCGGCCGCCGCGGCGGAAGGCGCGGCCGGCCGAGGGCCCGCAGCCCAGACCCCCACGGACCTGCACCCTCAGCTCACTCGCCCACTGAATGTACAGGGCAGTTTTTAATGCACAGGATGTTTAATGGTGAATTCATGCATAAATGTATGCTTCATTCATGTTCCATGGTTAATTCATGAATTAATTTAGGAATACATTCATGCATGAACTCATCGTTGTTTTTAATACTAGATCCCTGCATTCGTAATACATGATCCGCACGCGGAGCATGCATTAAAAGCGGCACTGTACAGCGTGCGCCACCCGCGAACAGGCCTCGAGAACCTCCCGACCCGGGGCCAATCCAGGCCAGGGTCGGTGAGACCTTGCATTCGGTCGGGCATGACCCCCTACAGGCGGACTCTGGGCGAAAAATCAAACATAGTCGCAAAATGTTCAAGCATATTCAAAACATGCCCAAAAAAATGTCCCCTGATTATTCCCTACCTAGGCTCTGCCTAGAAGGGTTCTTACTCTCTAGCTTAAAGGGGCCGGGCAGTGGAAAGCGCCCCGGGCGGTTCCCCCCAGTCCCCTGGGAGCGGTTCCCCCCAGTCCCCTGGGAGCTTTAGCTTTAGCTTTAGCTTTAGCTTTAGCTTTAGCTTTTCGCTTAGCTTTAGCTTAGCTTTAGCTTAGCTGTAGCTTAGCTTTAGTTTAGCGTTTTGTTTAGCGTTTCGCTTAGCGTTTAGCTTAGCTTTAGCTTAGCTTTAGCTTAGCTTGGGCTTAGCTGTAGCTTAGCTCTAGCTTAGCTTTAGCTTAGCTTGGGCTTAGCTGTAGCTTAGCTTTAGCTTAGATGCTGCTCAGGCTTAGCTTAGCTTTAGCTTAGCTTTAGCTCAGCTTTAGCTTTGCTTTAGCTCAGCTTTAGCTTAGCTGCGGCTTAGCTTTATCTTAGCTTTAGTTTAGCTTTAGCTTAGCTTCTGCTTAGCTTTAGCTTAGCGTTACTGTTACTACCAATGCTGCTTTCCTAGGGGTTCCAACTCCTAGGTAGGGTAGCACTGGGATAATTTTACTATTTTTGGATACTCCTCCTGTAGAGGGACACGCCCGACTTAAGCCTTGCAGGTCGTGCAGGATCCTGCACCCAAGCCCGAGTAGGTGCGCCATGGCCCTGCAGGATCTTGCCAGATTCGGCGTTCGGACTGCCCACCGTTTGAACCGAGCCCCGTCCTTGAGCACCGACCAGGTCCCGCCCCCCGTCCCCGGGGGTGGCTTTCGTCCTGGATGCATATTCAATGACCCCTGGGCCTGGTAAGGGACCCGAGCCCTGTCCCTTAAGCCCCAACCAGAGCCCTTGATGGATCCTGGGCCCAGTGCAGGACCCTGGAACCCGAAGATGAGGAGGAGGAGGAGGAGGAGGAAGAGGAGGAGGAGGAGGAGCAGGAGGAGGAGGAGGAGCAGGGGAAGAAGGAGGAGGAAGGAGGAGGATGATGATGAGGGATCCCCGGCCACGGGGGGGCGCAGCGGCCTCGCCGCGGGGGCGGCGAGGGCCCCGCGCGCTCGGGGCGCTGGAATGTTTGCACCGGCCCCCGCCTCTGGAGCCCCGAAGGTCCAAGGGCTCCCAACTTCGCTGCGCGAAGCGCGAAGTGCGAAGAACTTCGCGCTCTCGCGCCGCCTCCCAGGGGAGAAGAGGAGGACGAGGAGGAATCGGAGCCGAACCGCGAAGCGCGAAGCGAGAAAAACTTCGCGCCCCTCGAGGGCGCCCTTGAGGTCCCCCCCGTCGCCCGACCCGGCATTTGGGCGGGCCGCAGCCCTACGCAGACAGCGGGCGCGGCGGCCGAAGTCACGGCTCGTCGCCCGTCGGCAGCATCGCCTGCGCCGGGTGGGCAGCCGCCCGCGCCGCCGCCCAGCGACGCGCGGTCGTCGTCGTCGTCGTCGTCGCCGTGGAGGCCAAGGGCGTCGTCGGAACGTCGGCTTGTGGTCAGGAGGGGCCCGGGGGGCACACGGAGACATGTTTTTTTCTTGGCGAGCGGACAGCAAGCGCCCCGCGCAGCCGCGGGCGCCCGGGAAGGCGCCGGTCTGTCAGACACCTTGGGGAGCTGTGCTATACGCCGCGCCGCCAGCGCCGCGAATTCGGACACGCTGCCCCCGGCGCAGCGCACGTCGTGCAGCAGGAACAGGGCCTACCCCCGCGCCGGCAGCCGTTCCTCCACCCTGGGCATGCACTCCCGAGCATCTCTGCCGGCGTCGCAGCACTGGCGCCGCACCGGAGACAGGCGACGTGGCCGGGCCCTTGCGCGAGGGCGTGCGGCCACCACGACCGCACAGGGAGACATGCACACAAATCCCAAGATGCCCACCAGGTTTCTCATGTGTCTTGCTGTTCTTCTTCCACTCCACTCCCCATATTTCCACTATTTTCTTGGGGATCGACGATGATGTGTGTGTGTGTCTGTTTTTTCCTCATGAGACTAACAGAAACAAGCCAGACGCGTGATTGAAATTCCCTGCGCGGGCGAGGCCGTGGGAAGGGACGCCCGTCAAATGGAACATGCACCACGGCGGCGCCGGTGATTAGCGCCGACACAAGGCCGCCTGGAGGGCGACGAGCGCGCCGCGAGCGGCACCGCTTCAGCGCGGATGACAGCAGCGTTTCCGCCGGGCCGTGGGCCCAAAACGGCTACATATGGGGAAGGAAAAAAAGGAAGGAACAAACGCGCCTCAAATGTGGCGCGGTGCCGCACGGGTACAAACAAGAAAAAGAAAAAGGAGGGCGGTGTTCATCATAGGCCACTTGCCTTCCCCAACGGGTTCCAGTCCACTCCGCTCCCCTTTCCGGTACAGGATGCCCTATGCGGGGGGGAGCTGCGTGGACTAGCTGGCGACGACGGTGATGGCGACAGTGTCGACGACAGGACGACCGAGGACGCGCGGGTGCGCTGCGGATGTCCCATGGGAAAGGGGGGGGCACAGGGCCGCTGTGGACGACGACGACGACGACGACGACGGGCGACGGCGACGGCGACGACGACGACGACGCACTGCGGATGCCTCATGGGTGGGCGGGGGGGTGTTGCGTAGGCCCGCATTAGTAGCCGACGGCGACGGCAGCGACGACGGACGACGACGCACTGCAGATACCCCATCCATGGGAGGGGTGCTACGTAGGCCCGCCGTAATCGACGACGACAGCGAGAATGGCATGCTGTAATGACACATTACAGCACGAATGATTCGACCGAGCGCAGACGAGCCTGGCCACCAACACAGGCAGACCGCTAGAGAAATCCTCGCATGTTGGGCCCCCAATGGGGTGCGAAAACAAGCGCCTCGCCCGAGACATTCTCAGCACCGGCTCCGAAAGCGGAGGATGCTGAACCCGCAAAAGAACTAACAAACCGCTCGAGCCGTCCCCGCAATCTGAGCGCGAAGGGATAAATAAAATACACTCTGACGGCCCCCTATTGGGGTGCTGAAGCCAGCGCCTCGCCCGAGGCATCCTCAGACTCTGCTCTGAACGCAGACAAGTCTGACCACCAAAACAAGCAACCGCTCGAGAAGTCTTCGCACTCTGACGCCCTTGGGGTGCGACAAAAAGCGCCTCGCCCGAGACATCCGCACCATCTGCTCCGAAAGCAGGGGATGCTGCGTCGGTGAGCAGGCAAAGCGCTGAGACATCCACACGCAATCTGGGCGCGAACAAAGGATTGAAACGCCCCCTTCGACCCCCCCTGGAGGTGCTGAAACCAACGCCACGCCCGAAACCTCCTTCAAAACCTGCTCCATCATCATCATCATCATCATCATCATCATCATCATCACCATCATCATCAGCATCATCATCATCATCAGCAGCAGCAACAGCAGCATAATCAATGCCAACATCATCATAATCGTAATCATCATCATCAGCATCAGCATCCTCACCATAATCATATCAGCATCAGCCGCATAATCATCATCATACTCATCATCAGCAACAGCATCAGTATCATCATCATCATCATCTCCACCACCACCGCCACCACCATCATCATCGCCTTCATCATCAGCATCATCATCATCATCGTCATCATCAACAGCCACAGCATCAGCATCTTATCATCATCAGCAGCATCAGCATGAGCATCAGAATCCTTACCCACATCAGCATCATGTTCAGCAGCAGCATGAGTAGCCGCACAGTCATCAGCATCAACATCAACATCACCACCAACATCATCATCATCATCGTCATGAGCATCACCAGCAGTATCATGATCATCATTAACAGCAGCACCAACATCAGAATCATCATCAACAACACCAACCACATCCTCATATTCCTCATCATCATCACCGTCATCAGCATCGGCATCAGCATCTTCTCACAGGTGGCCCTGAGTGTGACTCTGAGTATGGGAAACTCTGAGCATCATCATCAGTGTTGCCAGCATCCCCATCGTCAACACAATCAGCCTGTTCACCATCATCATCATCATCATCGTCATCATCATCGTCATCATCATTATCTTCATCAACATCATCATCGGCACTGGCATCGCATCAGCATCGTCTTCATCACATTCGGTATCAACATCGCATTATCACCATCATCAGTATCATCTTCAGTATCATCATCATCATCATCATCATCATCATCATCATCATCATCATCATCATCATCATCATCATCATCACCAGCGCCATCACCATCACCATCAACAGTACCATCAGCATCATCATGATCAGCAACAGCATCATTATCATCATCATACTCAGGGTCAGCATCGGCATTATCATCGTCGTCATTATCAACAGCCTCAGCGTGAGCATCAGCATCATCATCATCATCATCATCAGCATCATCATCATCAGCCTCATCATCGTCATCATCATCATCCTCATCATCATCATCATCATCATCAACATCATCATCATCATCGTCATCATCATCATCATCACCATCATCATCGTCATCGTCATCGTCATCGTCATCGTCATCATCAGCATCATCGTCGAGCGTGTGAGTGTGAGGGAAGAGAGGGGACGAGAACGAAGGTGTTGGTGAACACTGGGCGCGGTCGGGGGGGAAAGATGCCCAGGCTTAGGATGTGGGGACAAACGCAAAAAGGACACTTCGGCGGTGGACAAACCTCCCTTTAGTAAACCTCCCCTTTGTGAAAACGGCCTGGGACCGAAACCGGCGGACCTGGACCCGCAAAAATGACGGCCGCGACGTCCTCTCGCAAACCGAAAACGGCCAATTCCTTAATCGACGTGTCACGGTAGGAGGTCTATCAACCTCCGAATACTGTCTTTGGCCGTCCTCGCCCTCGATGGGAAAAACAGAAGGGACGAAGCACTGGTCACCCCCCCGCGGTCCCCCCACGCTGCTGACTGCCGATCACGACGTCGGAGGCATGGGGGGCGGCGAGCGGAAGGGATCTCCGCCTCCTTCTCCTCCTCCTCCCCATCCTCCTCCTCCTCCCCGATCCTCCTTTTCCTCCTCCTCCTCCTCCTCCTCCTCCTCTCTTCCTCCTCCTCCTCCTCCCTCCTCCTCCTCCTCCTCCTCCTCCTCCTCCTCCTCCTCCTCCTCCTCCTCCTCCTCCTCCTACTCCTATCCTTATTCCTTATTAGAATATACTCCTACTCCCCCCTCAGGCCGGCAGATAGCGGGCGCATCCGGGTGGTCCCATCCTAACCTGTAAAAAACAATACAAAATCAACATGTTTCTTATTTTTTCCTCTCGACATGGACGTCCTGTCGTCCACGGCGATAATCCATTGCAAAAAATACCACAAAGAGCACACGCGCGCGTTCATGTCAGAATCCTACCGAACACCGTGTGTTTGCAAGCATTTCAACATAAAAACATCAAAACCCAATGCTTTTTTCACAAAAATTGTACAAATTTCCCGCCCGGGCTCTCTTGCTGAAATCATAGGAAAACCATAGGAATCTTAAGAATTCTGTCAAATCCAGCGATTTCACGTCATCGCGCGGTGCACTCGCGATGCTCTGTCATGCACCCAGGCCGCGAATCCTGTGCAAAAAATACCACAAAGAGCACACTCGCGCGTTCATGTCAGAATCCTACCGAACACCGTGTGTTTGCAAGCATTTCAACATAAAAACATCAAAAACCCAATGCTTTTTCACAAAAATGCTTTGGGGTGTCCTGTCAGACCGTCGGGCTTCCTCCGGCCACCTCTGGCTTCCTGCGGTGTACCGGGCCATTCTCGACTCGTCTGGCAATGCGTGCGCGGCATTCAACACGCGCTCGCCAGTTCCCGTCGGCAACCGCCATCGCGGCCGCATCAGCTGTACCAAACCGGCTGGCCGGTGTGACTTCGGCCCCCAGTTGTGCCAGCTTTGCTTCTTATGTTGTGGGAGGGCGGGTGGGACTGGGCATGCCATGCTTGACTCGCTCGAGCTGGCTAGCTTGACTCCTACTCCTACTCCTACTCCTCCTCCTCCTCCTCCTCCTCCTCCTCGTCCCACTTCTACTCGTTTCTTCCTCCTCCTCCTCCGCCTCCTCCTCCCTCCTATTCGATTCCTCCCCCCTCCTCCGAAGGGGTCTCCCTTGCGGACAGAGGACCCTGTCTGAAATAGGCCTTCGCACGTCACACGACCCACGTCGGACGTCAGAAGCCCTAAGCTAAGCTCTCAGACAAAAAACAGTCGGGCGCCCGATCTCCATGGCCTGCGGAAAGCAAGCGGTAGACACAGAAACTTTCGGGCGTCCGTTGGGAAGGCTTCGGGTTAAGCAGAGATAGCCCACCCAGCTAGTCCCCCGCAGGCCCCAGCAGGCAATCCTGGCTTGCCTCATCGAGCCCCCCCGAGTAGTCCCGACTGGCCTCAGCACGACCCCCGAGTAGTCCGGAGCGGTCCCAACGAGGCCAGCCGGGAATACATAGGAGGGCTGTATGTGAGCAACCTTCTCTGCGTAATTCAAGCTCTGCGCGGCCCGCTTAGTTTCGACCGGAAGGGGTGCGCTCTCGACCCGCGAATCAAAAATGTATATGAGCAACCCGAAGCCTTACCCACGGCCGTACGCATGCACAAAAACATTCGGGCGTCCGCAGGCCGGGAAAACGAAAACGTACCACTACCGCTACTCGCCAGACCTCTCCCCGGGCTCGTTCTGAGCAGGATCCCGAGGCGAATCCAGCCGTGGCGACGAGGGCCCCCCAGGAGGACTGAAAAGGCGAAATCGGGGCAGGTGTCGCGGTGTGCGTGCCTCTTCCTCCTCCGATGGGCGGCCGCCTCCCCGCATCCACGGGGGCGCAGGGGCGCGTCCGAGGCCCTACATCGAGCGACACTATGGATGACACGAGCGACTAAAATGGACGTGACGTCGACTGCGGTGTCGACGACCTGATCGACACGGACGACGGCGATGGGGGCGATGCCGACCAGGTCGCTGACAACGACGACGACGACGACGACGACGACGACGCTGACCACGGGGACGACGCTGATGCCGACGAGTGCGACGCCGACGGCGGCGACGAGGGCGCCGACTGCGACGAGCACCGACGATGGCCCGGACGGGAGGGCTGGGCGGGCGCCCCCTAACGAGCGGGTCGGGACGCTACCTAACACCATGCGGGACGGGCAAATGACCACAGCCACTGCTTCTTGTTTGCGCCGCCTTCCAGCCGGCCGAAAAAGAAGCAGTGGTTGTGGTCATTTCCCTGGTGCCAACCTCAACGAAAATGACCTAGGGCTCCCAACTTCGCGCTTCGCGCTGCGCGAAGCGCGAAGCGCGAATAACTTCGCGCTCTCGCGCCGCCCTCCCAAAGGGAGAATAGGAGGACGAGGAGGAGGGGGAGAAGGAACGAGGACCGCGAAGCGCGAAGCGCGAATAACTTCGCGCCCTCGAGGGAGCCCTTGATGACCACAACCACTGCTTTGTTTCTGCTGGCTGGAAGGCGGCAACAAAGAAAAGCAGTGGCTGTGGTCATTTTCACGTCCCGTACAACAACAGGCGGGTGGGGCGGGCGTACCCTAACGAGTGGGTCGGGCCAGACGACACTTGAAGTGATCCGCCGGCCCCCTTGTGGGGCCACCAGGCTGTAGGCCGAAGGTTCGCAGTTTCCTGTGCCAATTGCAGCTTCCGGTTTCAACCGTTACAGTTCTGCCTCTTGCTGCTTGCTGTTCCTTGGGGACGGACCGCGCGAGGGGGGAGAGGCCCAAACGGGCAGGTTTAGCACGCCCTGAGCGTGTTGTCTGAATTCCTGGGGTGGGTAAAAAGTAACACCCCTCACGCAGATCCGTAAGGTCAGGGTCCAACAACACATGGGATTTGCCACATTTCTAAAATTTGCTGGCGCCCCTCACGAAGCATATCGGCGGGGTCAGGGTCCAAAAACACATGGGATTTGCCACATTACAAAAATTTGCTGGCACCCCTCACGCAGCATATCGGCGGGGTCAGGGTCCAAAAAACACATGGGATTTGCCACATTTCTGATATTCGGTGGCACCCCTCACGCATATCGGCGGGGTCAGAGTGATGAACAAAAAGGATTTGCCACATTTCTGAAATTTGCTGGCACCCCTCACGCAGATCGGCGGGCTCAGGATCCAAAACACACATGGGATTTGCCAGATTTCTGAAATTCGATGGCACCCCTCACGCAGATCGGCGGGCTCAGGATCCGAAAACCCAAAGGATTGTCAACATTTCTAACATTCGGTGGCACCCCTCACGCGGATCGAAAAGGTCAGGGTCCAAAAACATATAGGATTTGCCACAGTTCTGAAATTCGGTGGCACACCTCACGCAGATCGGCAGGGTCAGGGTCCAAAACACACATGGGATTTGCCACATTTCTCAAATTCGATGGCACACCTCACGCAGGTCGGCAGGGTCAGGGTCCAAAAACACAGGGGACTTGCCAAATTTCTGAAATCTGGCGGCACCCCTCACGCAGATCCGTAAGGTCAGGGTCCAAAAACAGAAGGGATTTGCTACATTTCTGAAGTCCGGTGGCACCCGTGACGCAGATCCGCAGGGTCAGGGACGACAAACAAACAGGTCCCGACACCACTTCACGGCGGCGCCCAGACCCCATGATTTAGCTTTTGCATCTCCCATTATCCGAGACAGGGGTCCGGCGGCATGGGGCGAAGCCCTTACGGATATACAATTCAACTACTAGGACAGCCACAAATTAAATGACGAGGGGGGCAAAAACAGCGAGGACGAGGACGGCGACCACGACTACGACGGCGTCGACCATCAGGAGGGCGACGATGACGATGGGGACGACGACCACGACGACAATGCAAACGTTTTCTTATTCGGCGTTTCCACACTGGGCGGAAGGGAGGGGGGAATCTGGCTCCAGACCTCTGCTTCATGCGATTGTTTTGCAATCGTGCGTCCCATGGGGAAGACCCCGCCTCCTTGAAACACGTGCCCAACACGGCCAAAATCTACTCCTGGGGAGGGGGGGGAGGGAGGGGGCGCGAGGGCCCGCGCCGTTCGGCAAAACAATGAATGAGAAAACGATCACAATGACGTCGACGACGACGACGAAACTGACGAACAGAACAACGACGACCACGACGACGACGATGACGAAGACGACGGCGACGAGGCTGACAACAACGACGGCAAAAGCGAAAGCAACAGCGCTGTTGCAGGCGAATCCGACAAGGTGTACGACGGCGACGAAAAGGACGTCCTGGGCGACGACGACGGCGGCAACGACGACAATGATGACAACGCCGACGAAACATTCATTACGCAGGCAACGACATGGATGACGACGACGGCAGCGAGGACGACGACGCCGACGAAGCAACGCCGATGACGACGACGGCGGACACAATGGCGATGCCATGACCGACACCGACGACTAGGACGACGACAACGACGACGACGAGGATGCGACATGTCGACGATGACAACAAAAACGACCACGATACCGACAATGCCGACACCGATGAAACAGACGACAACATCGACGCCGATGACGGCGACGAGGACGACGCAGAGGACGAGTCCGATGACGAGGACGGCGACGATGCAGACGACGACGTTGACGACGACGACGACGACGATCACGAAGACGACGGTGACGACGCCGACGAGAGCGACAACGACATCGAGACGCGCGACGAGGAGGCGGCGAGGCGAGGCGCCGCGAGGCGCGCCGTGTCCTGCCAGGGAGGCCGACCCGCGGGGGGCAAGGCGCAAGGGGCCCGCGGCCCTGGGACGTCGCCCCTGCGCACGGAGTCTCGGGCTCGAGCGAGCTCCAGCTCCTGGCGAGCTCGTACCGAGAGTTCTGCTCTTCCCATCCTACTTAAGGACCAAATCCCAGAATTAATTTCGAGCACCCGGACGGAAGAGTGTCAAACGAGTGCCGAAACAGTGTCGAAGCAGTGTCGGGCGAGCGTCTCCCAGGGCCCGACACGTGAAAACCCTGGAGTTTCGGTACTTTTGCTGGCGCTCGAAATTCTCTCTGGTGATCAAGGCTAAAGCAGGTTGGAGCATCATAAACCGAGAGTTCGTGGATCCCTTCCGCTGGCAGAGGCTGTTACCGGGTCAGCAGAACCAACATCGGGGTCTTCCCGGAAATCTGCAAGCGCACTGAGGCCCCCACTCAGCAGCGACCCCTGGCCACTTGTTCGATGACGATTGGGGCATGACGTGGCGCCCATGCCAATTCCAGGGTTCTTTGTGAAGGAGGCATGTATTCTTACAGCTGCTCACATAATTCTCATGGTTTCGCACAGGTGCCCTGCGGATCCCTGAGGGATTCCTGCGGATTTTCACGCATTTCCCAAAGGTGCATACGATTCCTCCGGAATCCGTAATGGTTCTAAGCGATTCTTGCACATTCCTTGAGAAATCCTTTGGGTACCCAAGACGTCTCCCAATCATTCCAGGGGCTCCTGTATCTTGTCCTATCCCCCCCCTGCTGTTACATATTGTAAGATCTGTTGCATGTTGCCAAAATCATGTATTTTTGTGTTTGCCTTCTTTGGTGTCGGTATCCGACACCCGCCCCCTCCACCCTAAATTTGTTCACGGGCTTGGCCTCCCTTGCTCTTCTTTCACATGTCACGCTCGTTGAGGCCACGAGTCTGATGTCAGCAGCCCGCCGACTTCCCTCATGTCTTTACGGTGTCCAGCCGAGACTGCTCTATGAGATCCTGCTGTCTTGCATGTCTCCTACCCTCCCGGAGGGAGTCCGAATTTGTCCCCCGAGAAGCGAGACGGGGGCGGAGCCAGACCGCCGTCGCGCCCCTGCGGGTGACCCCCGAGAAGGCCCTCCGCCCCGCCGGGCCCGTCGCGGCTCTCCCGCGACAAACCAGCTCTGAGGGCCTCCGCTCCGCCGCCACGTGCCCCCTCGGGCGGCCTCGTACTGAGGATAGGCCTCGATGTTCGCGACCAGGCGTGCCCGCAGGTCCCCGACCGACAGGTTCACGTCCTCCCGCCGCCGCCGCCGACGAGAAGAGCCTCGCCACCGCCGCCGACGGCGACGGCGGCGACGGCGCCGCCGGCGGCGCAGCGGCGGCGCAGCGGCGGCGTCGGCGGCGGCGAGGCTGCTCTCGCCTGCGGCGGCAGCGGCGACGGTGGTGGCGACGCCGGCGGCAGCGCTGCCGACGTCGGCGTCGGGGGCGGCGATGACGGCGCCAGGAGGAGGGAGGGAGCGAGGAGGAGGAGGGAGGGAGGGAGGAGGAGGAGCGAGGAGGAGGAGGAGGAGGAGGAGGAGGAGGAGGAGGCGGCGGCGGCGGCGCCCGCGCGGACGGCGGCAGCACTGCCGGCGGCGACGGCGGCAGCGGTTTGCCGTCGTCCTGGCGCTTCAGGGCGAGCACGGTGCACTCGCCGGTGGCGCGCACCGTGGCCCTGCGGGGCTCGCTGTAGACCAGGGCCACCTCCTGCTCTGAGAGGGGGGGTGGGCACGGCCAGCTTCTCCCCTGCTTCTCCCCTGCCTCCGCCTCCTCCTCCGCCTCTTTCTCCGCCTCCTTCGAAACCTCTTCCTCCTCCTCCTCCTCCTCCTCCTCCTCCTCCCTCTCCTCCTCCCCTCCTCCTCCTCCTCCTCCTCCTCCTCCTCCTCCTCCTCCTCCTCCTCGTTATCATCATCATCACCATCATCATCATCATCATCATCATCATCATCATCATCATCATCATCATCATCATCATCATCATCAGCATCATCAGCATGATCATCACCACCACCACCACCATCATCATCATCGTCATCGTCATCACCACCACCACCACCATCATCATCAGCATCATCATCAGCATTAGCATCAGCATCAGCATCAGCATCAGCATCATCATCATCAGCAGCAGCATCATCAGCATCATCAGCACCAGCATCAGCATCAGCATTATCATCAGCGTCAGCAACATCGTCATCAGCATCATCATCAGCATCATCATCACTCGGCTCCCCCACCTCTTCCCGCTTGCCCTCCTTGTCCTCCTCCTCCTCCTCCTCCTCTCCTCCTCCTCTCGTACCCCCGCCCCACCTCCGCCTTCCACTCCACTCAATCCTCCTCATCCGCCTCAGCCTCCACGTCCTCCTTCCCTTCATCAATCCTTGCTGGTCGTTCCTCCCTTCCCCCTCCCACCCAACAATAGTGGTTTGTTGTTTGTCTCAATGTGTTTCTCTCTCGCTCTCTCTCTCTCTCAATGTATGTTTCTCTGTCTCTCTCTCTCTCTCTTTCTCTATTTCTGTCTCGTTCTCTGCCTCTCTCTCTCTCTATCTCGCTGGCAGTCTATACGTAAACATAGATATGCGTAGAAATATATGTATATCTATATGTTTATATCTACGTATACCCTTCTGCTTCCTCCTCTCTCCGTCCTCCACCATCGCGCCTTGTACTTCCGCCCTCATCCCTCGCCATCTTGTCTCGTCAACCCCTTCCTCCCTTATTCCTCGTCGCCACTCGCCTCCCTATTCGCATCCCCTCCAGAGATAGGGGAGGATGAAGGCGCAGGAAATGGGGATGGCTGAGGAAGGGGGGCGGGCAGAACAATGGGCGAGGGAGGAGGGGCAAAACGATGAATGGGAGAGGAAGGAGGAAGGGTGGCGAGCAGCGGGGGACGGGGGAGGGCAGAAGGGGGCACGGAGGAGGTAAGCAATGAGGAGGGGGACGGGATAGCTCATGGAAGAGGTGGGAGAAACAGCAACGAGTGAAACGGCAAGGGTAACCACAGCGGCATGCGAGATCCCACCCCAACCTGGCACCCTTCGTCCACCCGTGATTACGCTTGGCAGTTCATGGCAGACGCAGGCTGAAGGCAGGGACGAAGACAAGGGAAGGGGAGGAAAGTGAAGAGGAGGACGGCAGGAACAGGAGGGAAGGAATGTCCGGGAGGTAGGGGCTTGGACAGGGGGAAGCGAAGCGTAGATAGAGGGGGGAGGCGTAGGCGGAGGAGCGGGAACGGGGAGAGGAAAGAGGGGGAACGGGAAAATGACAATGAGAACAAGTGAAGATTCAGTCTTGCTAATTACCCGGTCCCCCCTGAGCAGAGGGAGGGAGTGAGGAGGGGAGGAGAAGGGGGAGGGGGCGCCAAACACTTTTTTGCGTCGTTCGCTGCGCGGCAGTTGCAGTCCGCGCGCGCGCTCTGGCAGCCCGGGCAGCGGAAGGCGCAAACGAACTGGCGGCAGGAGGGGAAAACAGGCAGAAGCGGCCACGAGAGGAGAGGAGGAGGGGGGAGGGCATCTGCATGGCGGGGCGCGTCGCCGCGGAGCGGCCGGGGCGGCCGGCCCGCGCGACACCTCTGGCACCAGACGCGCGGGACGTCACACAAACACACACACACACACACACGCACACACACGCACACACACACACACACGCACACACGCACGCACACACACACACAAACCCACACAAACACACACACACACGCACACACACGCACACATGGTTAAGTCGGGCGTGTCCCCCTACAGGGGGATCTTCGACGGAAATGAAAAATACTCGAAGAATACTCCAATATATATATATATATAACAAAAAAACTCCAAAAATACTCCCCTTGACAAGTTCTGAATTCTCTCCCTCTGAAGGAGCAGTCCCGACTCAAACACGTGGACGACAGGCAAGGGCACCGCAAAGGGGGGGGGAGGGCACGGACGGGCGGGGGGCGGCGGCGCGGCACGAGGTTAAAACAGGGCTAGGATCGGGACAAGTGAATAAATCGCTCCAGAGCGTTCCGGAGCGCTCTCAGAGCGTTCCCGAACGCTCTGGAGCGGCCGCGGCGCCCAATACATCCTCCAAACCCGCCGATTCTCAGAGATTTCGAGTTATCCCGATCCGATTTTATCCCGATCTTCGCGTTGTTTTGGAGGTCTCGGCCCCGGGCGGGGCGCTCCCCGAAGTACTGGCCGGGCGTCGTGTACCGCATCACCTCCGCGGGCCCTCCTCGCCTCTCGTCCTGCCCCCCCCCCGCCGCCTGCTGCGGCAGCCCGCGGGGGCCTCCCACGCCCTGCTGGCTCGCTCCTGCGAGTCGACGCTGCTGCTCCTCCTCCTCCACCTCCTCCTCCTCCTCCTCCTCCTCTTCCTCCTCCTCTTCCCCTCCTCCTCCCCTTCCTCCTCCTCCGCCCTCCTCCTCCTCCTCCTCCTCCTCCTCCTCCTCCTCCTCCTCCTCCTCCTCCTCCTCTCCTCTCCTCCTCCTCCTTTTCCTCCTCCTCCTCTCTTCTCCTCCTCCTCCCCTTCCTCCTCCTCCTCCCCTCTCCCTCCTCCTCCTCCTCCTCTCTCCTCCTCCTCCTCCTCCTCCTCCTCCTCCTCCTTCCTCCTCCTCCTCCTCCTCCTCCTCCTCCTCCTCCTCCCCTCCCTCCTCCTCCTCCTCCTCCTCCTCCTCCTCCTCCTCCTCCTCCTCAACCCCCGACAGGATGCCGATGCCGCAACTCTTCGGACCTCTCCCGGGGTGGGCTCTGAGACCACAACCTCGAGGCCAATGAGCCCAGGGGGGGCGACGAGTGCCCCCCGGGAGGCCCGACAGGGCGCCAGCCGGGCAAGGGCAGCGGTGCCCGAATCTCCAAAGGCCTCCTAGACGGGATCCGAACAGATGGGGTGGGAGGACTGCGCCGCATCGGCGATGCGTCGCCGATGCATCGGCGACGCGTCGGCGAGGCAGCGCAGCCGTCGGCGTGGCGAAAAGTAGGCTCCACTTCGAGCCGCATCGCCGACGCATCGGCGATGCGGCGCGATCCTCCGACACACTCTGCTCGGACCCCAGCTGGGAGGCCTAGAATTAGGTCGGGCATGTCCCCCTACAGGGGGCTTGGACGAAAAATCCAGGATAGTCATGAAATATTCTGAAGAAATGAAAAATACGCAGAAAATCGTGCCCATACTATTTTTAAACAATTTTTCAATATTCCTCCTGTAGAGGGACACGCCCGACTTAAGCCTAAAACCTCTGCCTCCTCAGACACCGCGCCCAGTCCAGGCCAAGCCACGACGGCGCAGAGGAGGGGTGCCCATAGGCCCCAGGCCCGCCGACGCACGAGCGCCGAGTCGCCCGCGGGGGCGGCCAAGCCCTCCGCTCCGTCCCACTGCCTGGCAGGTCGACACTGGACCGCCTTCCCCCGGCCGCTCCGACGCCGTGGCCGGGGAAGCTTTCGGGCAGGTCCCGGGCATGCCCGCGCTGGGACCAAGAAACGTAACGGCGGGGAAGCTCTGAGCAGCTTCTGGCGGCCCCTGGGGCCGGGGAGCCCCCAGGGGGGACCGGACCGTCAAGAAACGGCTCGGGAGGAAAGGGGGGAATGTGTTCCACCACCACTACCAGAGGTAGTAGCGGGGGAGAAGGGAGGATAGAAGGTCCTCCTCCGCCTCCTCCCTCTTACCTGTGGTGGTGGAAAATCGGCCCATCAGGAGGAGAAAATTTGCCACGGGGAAAAGGTCGGGGCTTCCAGGGACAGCGGATGGAAAACACCAAGGCACCAAACGTCTGAGCTCGAGATCACGTCGTCCCATGTGTCCCTCCGACCGTTCCTGCGCCCAGTTTCGGGCACCCCGGGGCGCCATCGCAGGTCGACCGCGCGCGAAAAACACGCCGAAAGACGTGGTCTCTAGGGCTCCAGTCGCGCTGTGCCACGATGCTACAATGTGTTCGACGTCGGATCTCAGGGGAGCCTGTGTCGTGCCTAAGCAAGATTCGATAGGGGAGCAACAAGTGATATAAACATAAATACTCGGAGGTCCGCGCAGATTTCTCGAATCGGCGCTGGGCCCCCTGCCTGGCGCGCGGACCCCCCTGCCGGAGGCGCCGCCGGGGGGCCCCAGCGCCGATCCGAGGAATCTGCGCGGACCTCCGAGTTTTTATGTTTATGTCACTTGTTGTTCCCCTATCGCATCTTGCTGCGCCACGACACAGGCTCCCCTGAGATCCGACGTCGAACACGTTGTAGCATCGCGGCACAGCGCGACTGGAGCCCCAGAGGCCACGTCTCTCGGCGTTTCTTTATTCTTCGCGCGGGGTCGGCCTGTCATGGCGCCCCGTCGTGGCGCAGCAAGATGCGAGAGCGTCGCCCATGCACCGCGTCATCGGTGGACCCCCTGCGGAGCCAGCTCCGGAGCTGCACGCCGTAATAATCGGGGATGGACAGACCTCCCTTTAGTAAAACGTGGTTTAGTGAAAACGACTTCGGGCCCAAACCTGGCGGGCGCAAGCCTGGAAAATAACGGCCACGGCGCCCTCTCGAAAACCGAAAACGGACAATTCACTAATCGACGTGTCACTATTGGGGGTTCTGTCCACCCCCGAAATAATGGTGCTGCTCTCGGCCCTGGGGGCCAAGGCGCGCCGTGCACCGTGCCCCTGCCGGGCCGGGGGCCGACGACGCCTCGGAGGAGACCGACGCGGAGCGTCAGGTTCGTGTCGTGCCGACCTCGGCGTTGGTATCCGACACCGCGGGGATCGTTCGACACTGAACGATCGGCCGATTCCGGAACGTCCAAATCGTGCCGCATCGAACGGTTCTGGGTCGCCCGCGGCGTTCCAAGTTGAGCGCAGCGGGCGGGGTCGCCGCCAGTCGACATGACACGAACCTACCGTACGGTGCGAGCAAGTCGTCCGCGGAATTGAGCAGGGGGGAACAATGAGGGGACTAGCTCAGGCGGGTAACATCAGGTCGGGCATGACCTCCCGACGGTCGGATTCCGACAGAACAATCAAAAAAGTAGCCAAACATACTCAAACGTAGTCAAAGATCGTCCCCAAACGATACTTTGACTATGCTTGACTCTTCCTGACGGAGATGCCCGACATACGCGTGACATCGACCTGGAATCGGCGACACATCGCCGATAGATCGGCGGTGCGCTCCTCCTCCTCCTCTTCCGCCTCCTCCTCCTCCTCCCCCTCCCCCTCCTCCTCCTCCTCCTCCTCCTCCTCCTCCGCCTCCTCCTCCTCCTCCGCCTCCTCCTCCTTGCGAAACGATCTCAAAACGAAGACGGTCCACGAGATCGCCAGGGCACCGAGCCCTGCCCCGAAGGACACCCCCGATGCTGCCCCCGCGGGAGCGGGGGCAGGGGCGCCTCGACCTCGCCGTGCTCCCCGTGCATGAAGGCCGTGCACTGGCCCTCGTACAAGAAGTACACCTGTGCGGCTGCGGCCCGGGCGGGGCGCGGCGGCAGGGCCTGAGCAGGGACCAACCGTCCCGGCATTCCTAGAGTCGTACCACGAAATGTTCTCAGAACCCAGAAATGTTGTAAGGACAAAAACAATGTTCTTAGACCATGAACCCGATGTGTTCACCGAGACAGTCTCAACCATAAACATGTCGTGCATACCGCAAAAAGGTTCTTAGAACAAAGCTTGGTGGGGCTATAGGCGAGCCGGGACGCTCCGCCAAGGGCATCAGTTGTCACTCCTTCCCGGCGCAGGGCCCGGCCGAGACGCCCAGTTCCCGAGAACACCTGGACCGCCCCGCGGCGGCCCACTGCGCCCCAGCGCTGGAGGCCCCACCTCACGCGGAGGCACGAGCGGCGACGTCTCCCCCGCCGGCGCGCCGCGGAGGTTGACGGCGACGTTTTGCAAAACGCTATAGCACCTGCGGGGGGAGGTCGATCTGAAGCAGGCGCGCGCGGAAGTCGGAGGCCTCGCCCGTCAGTGCAGAGGCGCGCGGCAGCGAGGCGGCTGCTCTGGGCTGGCGCGGCGAGGGCCAAGGCATTAACATCTGACGCCCCGTGGATCGTGCAGTGCCGAACGGCATGCGGCTGCCCGATCGCCAGGTCGTCCCGTGCTCCTCCCTCCTCCTCGACCTTCTCCTCCTCGGCGTCCTCCTCCTCCTCCTCCTTCCCCTCCTGCTCCTCCTCTTCCTCCTCATCGACCTCCTCCTCCTCGACCTCCCCAGTGATTCCCGATGGCGGCCCCAAGCGGTGTTAAAGTGCCCCGAACCCATCGGCGCCGAGCTCATCCACGCACCTCACACAGTCTCACAACGCCGAACCCAATCACGCATTTCACGCAGTCGCACGACAATTCGAAATACAACGAAACCTTCGGCGCCGAGCTCATCCGCGCGTGTCACATGGCATCAAATGGCCGCGCGATCCCCAACACCGAGCGCCCCCACGAGTTCCACGAGGGACTCAAAGCGCATCGAAACCCGAAGCGCGCGTCTCGTACTGTTTGACATTTCCGCGAAGCCTTCAGCGCCGACCACAACGGCGCTTAGCGGGCCCTGGAAACCACAAGGCCGAATGATTACCGGTTCCGTTGTACCTTTTGTTGGCCCGTTCCGTCACCTGTTTTCCCGGTTCAGGTCCCACCTCCAGTCCCGGAGCCGCCTTTTTGCCGTTTCCGGCCGCCGTGAATTTTATCGCTTCCACTTTCACTAAGCACTTGTTTGAAAACGGCGGAACAAACGCCCTGCCGCGCCCGAAGTCTCACGCACAACGAACCAGTCGGTGACCTTCAACCGCACTGAGAAGCCGAACGACCAGCCGAAGCGGCAACAGAACCAGTCTTTGGCCGGCGGAGGAGCTAGAGCGCAGAACCTCTCGTCCTCGTGGCCGACGTCCTCGTCGTCGCCGTCGTGGTCGTCGAACTCGTCGCTAACGCCGTCGTCGTCGTCGTCGTCGTCGCCGCCGCCGCCGCCGCCGCGGCGCGGCCGCCGCCGCCGCCGCCGCCGCCGTCGTCGTCATCGTCGTCGTCGTCGTCGTCGTCGTCGTCGTCGTCGCCGTCAGACGAAACCATCAACGTCGCCGTCGCCGTGGCCGTCGACCACGCAGGGCACGGCACAGCACGGCATGATTTTGTGTTTCGCGTTCCGAACGCCAGGGCATGGCACGGCGCGGGGGAGGCGCGGCACAGCTCTCTCGCGGCGCCGAACAGGGCACGGCCCGCAGTCAGGGGAAGCCCTGACCTCCGGAGGTTCGTATTCCAACCTCCTCCTCCTCCTCCTCCTCCTCTTCCTCTTCCTCCTCCTCCTCCTCCTCCTCCTCCTCATCCTCCTCCTCCGCCTCCGCCTCCGCCTCCGCCTCCGCCTCCGCCTCCGCCTCCTCCTCCTCCTCCTCCTCCTCCTCCTCCTCCTCCCTCTGTTTCTCCCTCTCTGGGGAGGTCCTGGGAGGTACGAAGTCCGAGCCTCCGGAGGCTTGTGTTCTAACCTCCCCGCGTTCCCTATGTTTCTTGCTGTTTCCCTCTGGTTGGCCTTGCTTCCTTCTGTTTGTCTCCACTTCTCACCCTGTATGGGGAGGTTCTGGGAGGTAGGAAACCATGATCTCCGGAGGTTGTGTTCTAACCTCCCTCTTTCTCTCTGATTCTCGATGATTCTCTCTGGTTGGCCTTGTTTTCTTACGTTTGTCTCTGTTTCTCCATCTGTATGGCGAGGTTCTGGGCGGTAGGAAACCCTAACCTCAAGAGATTAGTGTTCTCACCTCCCTCTGTCTCTGCTTTTCGCTGTTTCCCTCTGGTTGGCCTTGCTTCCTTATGTATGTCTCTGAATCTCCCTCTGTCTGGGGAGGTTCTTGAACCCTTGTTTCCGTATGGTTGCCTCTGTTTCCCTCAGGTTGACCTTGTTTCCTTCTGTTTGTCTATTTTTTTTGTTGCTCTCCCTCTCTCTCTCTCTCTCTCTTTGTACGGGGAGGTCCTGCTAACCTCGTGCTTTCTCTCTGGTCTTCGCTGTTTCACACTGGTTGGTCTTGCTTCCTTATGTTTGTCTATGTTTCTCCCTCTGTCTCGGGGGGCTCTGGGAGCTTGGAAACCATAGCTTCCAAACCTTCGGACGTTAGTGTTCTAGCCTCCCTCTTCTCTCTGCTTGTCACTGTTTCCTAATGGTTGGCCTTGTTTCCGTGCGTTTGTCTCTGTTTCTCCTTCTGTATGGCGAGGTTCTGGGCGGTAGGAAACCCTAACCTCAGGAGATTAGTGTTCTCACCTCCCTCCTTCTGTTTGTTTTTCGCCGTCTCCCTCTGGTTGGCCGTGCTTCCTGCTGTTTGTCTGCGTTTCCCTCAGGCTGGCCTTGCTTCCTTCTGTTTGTCTCTCTCTTGATTTGTTTTGTTTTTCTCTCTCTCTCTCTCTCTCTCTCTGTATGGGGAGGTTCTAGGAGGTTCTAGGAGGGATTTGTTGACACCATTTCTGTGCATCAGGTGGCAGAGCAGATCGATTTGTGGTGAGGTGCGCCAAGTAGTTCTTGGTACTACAATTTCAGTATTTGTGGCTGCACACGCCTACCGGGAGAAGGATATCAGGAAGGATAGGGACCGGGAAACAGACACTGACGTACAGTCGGACTCTCGACCGGAGAGAGCGCGCGCGAGAGGACACGAGACCCTTCCGGAGGGCCGCATCGCCACAGGAGTGAACGAAGGCACGCGTCGCGGGGCGCAGGACGCGCGAGCAGCGTCCTGCATCCGGATCTGCTTGGTCGAAGCAGCAGCTTGCCCTTCTGAAATCGTTGGATATTTCGAATCTGCAGATTGCGTTCATCGGGCTCCCGACTGTGAATTTAGAAGATCGTGTTCGTGACATTCAGGCCTCTGTTCAGCAGCAGATTGATGGTCCAGGGCACCCCTTGAGCTGGCAGGGCCGACCTCCTAATCCGGGCCGGCTGTACATCGGCGGCGAGCGAAGGGGGGAAGCGAGGAGGAGGAGGAGGAGGAGGAGGAGGAATAGGAGGAGGAGGAGAAAGAGGGAGGAGGAGGAGGAGGAGGAGGAGGAGGAGGAGGAGGAGGAGGAGGAGGAGGAGG